AAACATGCTCCTGCCAATATGAGTACCCGAGAGACCTCTCTAGGACCCTGGGCCAATATTTCCATAAACTGAGGAACAATGGACTGAGGGCCAACATTTCTGAGACACTGGACACTTCCCTATGGACTGATACTAAGACCCACATACTCCTGCTGACTCTTAAAGGAATGCCACATGCTCCCACTACTATTGCCATCTATTGATCTAGACAAAGATATCTGGAGAGTGTACTATACAATCCAACCAAAAATAAAGTAAAAAAAATAGTCTATCAGAGCGCTACCTGGAGGCACACCAACTTCAGGGAAAGCCTCTTAAAAGTGATAGAAAAAAGCTAATCTGGCAGATGAGCAATTATCAATGTAGGAATACAAAAAATACAAAAACTGATGATATACAATTTGCAACTTTTAGCTCCAAGGGAAAGGATATAGACAAAATGCCTGCTACAAAGTTTAAAATAATGGTAATTGTTAGGAAACTGGCGCAGTTTTACCCAGGTGGCCGCATGGCCCAGCTACCTGAGCCAGGCTCCACCCCCATCCTAATGGGATTTGCTGCTCCTGCTTCCCTGCCCGCCCTCAAGCAAAGTTTTAAAAGGGCCTGTTCCTGAACATGTGCTCTCTTGGTTCTTCTCTCTTGTCTTCTCTCTGCTCTCTTGGCTCCTCTCCTCCTCTCGTCTTTCTTCTCTCCCCTTTGTCTCTCTCTCTCTTATAGTCTCCTTCTCTCTTTCCCTTCACCGCCCCTTCACTCTGGTCTGTTGGGTGTTCCCCAGTAAACCCTTTCCCTTACTCCAGTGTTCGGTGTGTTTTGCGACAGCTAACTTTAATATTTAACAGTAATAAGGATGCTAAAAGAGATTAAAAGAGATACAAAAGAATACAGAGAGTTGAATGAAATCAGAGAAATAATACATGATGCAAATGAGAAAATTATCACCAAGATCTTGAAAAGTTACCAAACTAAACCTTGGAAATAAAATCTCAGAAAATAAAATAAAAATATAGTTGAAAACTTCATTGAGATACTAGATTGAGCAAAAGAAAGAATATCTGAACTTGAAGTTAAATCTTTCAAAATATTTCTGTTGAGAAACAAAGGATAACAAAGAATAAAAACATTATTTGAATACTTTTGTACACCATTAAATGAGCATATATGTGAATTGTGGGTATTCTTAGGTTGAAGAGAGTAGTAGGGGATTAGACAATTTATTCATTGATCTAATATCTGTACACATCTCCAATCTGGAGAAAGATTAATGACACCCAAGTACAGGAGATCCATTGGATCCCAATTAGACATGAACAGGAAATATCCTCTCTGTGACACATTATAGGCAAACTCTCAAATACACACCCCAATGAAAGAATTCTAAAATTTGAAAAAAATACAAGAGCAAATTTGTTTCAAATAACCCCAGGATGCCCTGTTCATCTGGGGTTTTTTATTCTGGCTTTTTATGACCAGATATGGTTTCTTCTGGTGGCAGACCCTGGCATTGTCCATGTGATGCTGCTTTTTTGCAGGCATGCAGAATGAAAAAGTAATGAAGTCACAGTTGTTGTCACCAATGTTTCAAAGAAAACTTAGAAGGCCCAACACAGTCACACTGTGAGCTTGGAGCTTCTGCATGGAGTAATGAGTGGTGAAGCTGTGAGATCGGAGCTGCAGAGGAGACCATGGAACAATAAATTTGCCAGCAATGTGAGACATCCATCATGGAAAGCTGCAATTAGTGTGGTAGGCAGGCCTGGAAAAGCCACTGACAGCAGTCTGCAGCCTCAGAGAGCAGCTCTATGGACACAGACCAACAGAGCAATGGAGGCATGAAAGCTTCCACCATCTAAGGATGTTTTGGATAAGCAGCGGGCCCAGAGAAGGATCAGTTCCAGGGACAAAGTTACTGTAAAGAGACTTCACTAGGGCAATGCCATCCATAAATATGCAGCTGGAGCTCACCACAGCAATGCCTAATGTAACTGCAGAGATGAGACTCCCACTTGTGAGAACTGAAGCCTGGGCTGCCCAAGCCCTCAGGAGCTCCATCCTACTACAGTGTATCCAGGATGCCACACAAGAAACTTGAGGACTTAAAGTTTGTCCTGCTGGTTTTCAGTCCTGTTTTGGCAATTAATTCTTCCTATTTCCTTGTCTTCCCTATTTGGAATGGAAATGCATATGCTGTACCTGCCTTGTTATTGCATCTCAGAAGTATATAACTGATTTTTAATTATATAGAAGTTCACAGCTAGAAGAGCTCGCTTTGAGTCAGATGAGTCTTTGAACTATCAGTTTTGAATTGATGCTGCACTGAGTTGAGACTTTAGTGCTTCTGGAGTTGGAATGATTGTATGTTTTATCTGAGAAGGATAAAGGTTTTGGGGAACCATGCCTGGAATATGATGGATTGAAGAGGAATACCCCCCCAAATTCATGCAGATGTGTAAACCCTGAAGTCTAGCAGTAAGAGTTGATGGATTAAGGGTGGAGACTTGATCTCATTATGGTGTTTAATAGGTGGGTCTTGTGGGAAGTTTTTAGGGACATGCCCTTATAAAACAGTTCTCACAAGAGGATTGATTATTTAAGCTGAGTTCAGCGTAACTTTTCTATTGGCTACCTAGCTCCTCATAGGGTTGTTCCTCCACACCCACTCCACCTTTGTCAGTCCCCACTGGAACCAGGTTAATGCTAAAGGGGCTGCCCAATTCTGAATGGTAAGCAGAAATAAACCCTTTCCTTTCCCCAGGTCCCATCTCATGTATTATAGTTAAAGATAATGAAAAGTTGAAACAAAGAGGAAGTTTTCTGTTGATGGAGGTATCATAAAGATGAAATTCTCATTTTGATCGATTGTGAACAGAAATTGATCACTTGGACTAGTGAGATGGCATTGGTACATGCCACCTTGATGGGATTGAATTGGAGTCCTCTGGTATGTTTCTAACTCTACCATTTGGGGCAAGTCAGCTTGAGCATGTCCCAAATTGTACATCTCTTCCCTCTTTATTCCCACTATTATATTTAACATGAATCACTTTTCAGTTAAGTTTCAACACTTAAGAATAACTGTACATTAATTACAGAATTCAACCAATTGTATTAAATAGAGCAACCAAAAAAAAATACTAAAAGAGACAAAGTATTAAGTTGTTCTCACTAGTCCAAGTGATCAATTTATGTTTACAATTGATCATAATGATAGGACTAAGAGTCAAAGGGGTCACATAAACAAGACTAGTGTCTGCAAATACTAACTGATAGAATAAAAAAAAGGGAGAGAATGGATCCAAATGGCAGATGTCCTAAACAGCACTCTGACCTCAGAATCATCCCTTAAGGCATGCGGATCTGGCTGAAAAGCCCATGAGAGTATTTCAGGCATGGAAAGCCAAGACACTCTGGCAAAAAAAAAAAAAAAAAAAAAAACACACAACACCACTAAATGAAAGATCTCCACAAGTGAGATCCCAGTGGAAAGAATGGGTCATCAAAGAAAGAGGTACCTTTCTCTGAAGGGAGGAGAGAACTTCCACTTTGACTATGACCTTGTCAAAATATGATCAGAGTCGGTGAACTCAAAAGGCTTCCATAGCCTTGGCAGCTCACGACAAGAGTCTAGGGTGATTACTGAGGCCATAAACAAGAGTGTCAATTTGTTAAGTCAACAACAGGAGTCACTGTGCACTTACTCCTCATGTAGGATCCCTGTCCTTAATGTGCTGTACATTGTGATTTAATGCTATAACTAGTACTCAAACAGTATTTTACACTTTGTGTTTCTATGTGGGTGCAAACTGTTGAAATTTTTACTTAATATATACTAAACTGATCTTCCATATATAAAGAGAATTGAAAATGAATCTTGATGTGAATGGAAGAGGAGAGGGAGCGGGAGATGGGAGGGTTGAGGGTGGGAGGGAAGTTATGGGGGGGAAGCCATTGTAATCCATATGCTGTACTTTGCAAATTTATATTCATTAAATGAAAGTTAAAAAAATAAAAAATATGAAATCCAAAGCCTATGCATATGTCAAGACCTCTTTATCTCATAAGCAAGAGAAACTGGCTTAAATTGTCTAAATAAAGTCATTGTCGATATTTTTGTTTTAACCTATATTAGTGGAAAATTTATTCAATTAATCTACACTAAATATCCAGCAAATTATAAAAGATGAATCTAGGCCATCTTCCAGGCCATAGCAGAGAGCTGGCCTGGAAGAGGAGCAGCTGGGTCTTGAACAGGCACCCATATGGGATGTCGACACTGCAGGTGGTGGCTTTACTGGCTTTGTCATAGCACTGGCCCCAAAGTGACTTTTAAATAGATCTTGAGAGTGTATCTAAGCAAATCAGTCATATTATTTTTGATCAAATCAAAATGGTCACTATATTAATATTTTGTCTTCATATGAGAAATTAGTAATATGTTTGCACACATAGTTATTTGTTTTCATGCAATCTCCTAGGACAGTACGTTGAAGTATTCCCGGTGAAGTTGCACATCTCTCCTATTTGGCTATGGCCAGCATCTAAAGTAGGAACGCTAGTGTTTCTCTTCAATTTGTCCCTGAGCAGAGCTTTGTAAGCTCCTGTGCTTAAGTGCCCATCCTTTTCAGGAAATCCCTGCTGGTACCTCCTGTGGAGGAATCCCATGTCTTGCTTCCCAAAGCAGACCACATCTGGATTGTCTCCTTGGTAGCTCTGGCGCCTGGGAGGCCGGTGACTTGACCCCTGAAGAACTGCAGCCTTTGAAGGTCGCTCAGACACCTGGGCTGTGGTGGGGGCCCAGCAGGCCTGAGGACACTGCCGTCAGTCGCTTTTCACTAACATGAACCCAGCTACATTGCTACCTACAGTTGTCAATTAATGACGATCTACACACGTATCTTTGTGATAATGTATAATGAGGCATAATCTTGCAACTCTGCACTTTCTATAAGCCTCTGAATTTTAAAAGTAAAAGAGAATTCCATTAGTTCATCATCATTCCTTTTTTTAGCAATTTATTTATTTATTTGAAAGACAAGGAGTTACAGAGAGTCTTAGGCAGAGAGAAAAAGTGAGAGGTCTTCCATCTGCTGGTTTACTCCCCAAATTGCTGCAATGGCTTGAGCTGCACTGATCCAAAGCCAGGAGCCAGGAGCTTCCTCCAGGTTGCCCACACGGGTGCAGGGACAAAAGGACTTAGGTCATCTTCCACTACTTTCCCAGGCCACAGCACAGAGCTGGATCAGAAGTAGAGCAGCCGGGACTCGAACTGGAGCTCATATGGGATGCCGGCAGTGCAGGCGGCGGATTTACCCACTATGCCACAGCGCCAGGCCCTCTCATCATTCTTGCTTGACTTTCTTAAAATTTTTTTTAAAAGACTAACTTATTTATTTTAAAGGCAGAAGCAGAGGCAGAGAGAGAGAGAGAGAGAGAGAGAGAGAGAGGTCTTCCATGTGCTGATTTATTCCTCAAATAGCCGCAATGGCCGGAGCTTGGCCGATCCCAAGCTTGGGGCCAGGAGCTTTTTCTAGGTCTCCAATATGGGTGCAGGGGACCAAGGACTTGGGCCATCATCTACTGCTTTCCCAGGCCATAGCAGAGAGTTGGATCACAAGTGGAATGGCCAGGACTCGAACCTCGGCCAATATGGGATGCCGGCACTATAGATGTCAGCTTTACTCACTATGCCATGCCGCCGGCCCCTTGACTTAACTTTCATAGAGGATATTAATGTGAAAAGGACTGCCTATGCAAGCGCATAATGTGTAAAAGTGTAAGTACAGAGTCACATATACTACCCAAAACGCTTTCTGCAAAGAGGTACTAAGCTGTCTGTCCACCCATCTACATTTAAATATACAAAATAATAGGAAGGTATTACTCCTCAACAGAAATAAACATAAGTGGCTCTTTTTTTCTCTAGAAGCTTTGAACACTCCCTGGAACACTGTAGATACTTAATAGGCATTTATCATGTTCTTATTTTTATGAAATATTTAAAAACAAACAACATAAATTACAATATGTCCATTTGTGTGTGTGTGTCTATGTGTGGCTGTATATATAGAAGAGTTCTTCAAAAAGTTCATTGAAAATGGATTTAAATATGTTTATTTTGGTGCAAAAAAATTTGAAATCCATCCATACAAAGGATATTCAAAAATGTGTAGTACACATGGATATAAAAAATTTTATACCAAAATAAAGTTTTTAAAATTATATTTTCCATATATTTTATATGTACCTATGTATTCAAATAGCATGACTGGGTCAAATATTTATTAACTGCATGTGCAGTGTCAAGCAGCTGTGTTACTTGCAAAAGCTTTATTTTGTAGAGTGTTTTTTTTCTAATTATATTTTTGTCATTTACTTTGGTTTTGCTTTTTGTAATTCAGCATTTAGACTATGGCTATTTCCTCAAACTTGTAGAGGAAACCTGAAAGTATGAAGCCTTGTATTGTAAGACAATTGAAAAATAACTGTTAGATTACTCTGTCCTCGTAAGCCGAATTGCTAGATCTAAATGTGGATTCCTGAACAAAGCTGAGCCTATCAGCTGTGTGTGTGTGTTTAGCCTAGGATCTAAGGGCAAAAGGTATACCTCTTACATCCGGCGCAGGAGCTGAGGAGCAGAGGAAGTCAATCACAGTATTAAAGAAAAAAGAAAGAGATCTGATAGTAAATAGTCTGACTCCTTTCCAGGCTCTGTTCCTGACATCTAGAGTCCTTCTCATCCAACTTCAAATAATATCTGATGTGTTTTGCTGATGAAAGATTTTTATTATCTGTAAGGAAAGAGTTATAAGTTAATCAGCACACACAATCAAACATCTTCAAAAAGGATTTGAAGTAGTCATATCACAAATAAAATAAAACATACAATTATCTTCAATATTAAAATGCCCCAAGTAATATGAATACAACAATGAATGAAATCATTTCTCCAGAATTAAATGAATTAATAAAATTCTCAAAAATCATTTCAGACCTTACTGAAGTGAAAGCAAAGAGAGAAACAGTTTGTAAAGTCCCTATTTCTCTGAAGGAAGCCCTGAAACTCAGCACAGAAAGACAAAGCTGTAAACTTCAAAGGGAATTGTGTAGTCATTTTTATAAACACAAGTAATTTTATTTATTATATTTTCATAGTATATAAAATCATATATTGTATATATGTGTGTGAGAGTGCTTCAAAATTTTCTTGGAAAATGGAGTTAAAAGGTATGTTCCTTTTGCTGCAAAAAGTTCTGAAATTCATGTGTATTTTTTCATAATACACATTTTCTGTGGGCTTTTTTGAAGACACCTCATACATACACCCAAATGCATTTCTTAACTAAATCCTGTATCATACAGTTAAGATGTATTTTACAAGAAAAAGAGAAATATCAGACAAGCTGAAAGTATGGTCTATTACTTACATGTAAGATCTGCCTAAAGAACTTTGAGGAGAGACAGTTGGCTCTGCCTAAAAGCTAGAACAGGATTACAATTCAACTCTAGTAAATGATCAGTCTTCTTGCCTTTGCTTACGTTATCTCTCCTGATTTTATTTCTTTTGTTGCTTGCTTTCATCATCTACATACTTCAAATTATAATTTACCTTGTCATGCTTTCTATGTTTATAGAACTGACATGTTTTCTTTGGAATCAGGTGGATTATACACATATATGCACAAACATGAACATATGCAGTTAGACTAACAGGCAAAGGAAAACAGAATTGATTCTCACTAAGCTTTGCTGATTTAAACTATGTTCCCCGTTTCTTCTGTAAAACTTCTGCTGTTGTCCAGGGCACATGAAAATTCCTGCTGGAAGGTAATTTTGCACTGTGGAGAATATAGGATTCTTAAAGGAAAGTAGGCAAACATGTGAATAGGAAGTTTACATAAGAGTAATTTGTTAAACACCAATGATAAGTGAAGTCATGTTGATATGCCTTGGTGAAAATTCTATTTCTGTGGTTTTCTTACCAAACCTGAAACCCACATCTTATCATGTGAAAACATCAGTCAAGACTAAATTAAGGGCATTCTACAAAATAATCTGGCTAATGCTGTTCAAAAGTCTCAAAATCATGAAAAACAAACACTGAGCAGACAATGATAGACACTCACAGAAAGGTGTGGATTAATGGGACATAGTAGCTAAATGCAAAAAACGCAATGTAGCATTCTGGAGTTGTGTCTGTAACAGAAAAGGGGCCTTAAGAGAAAAATGTGAGATTAAAATAAAATCTGTAGTGTAGTTTATGATATTATGCTAATGTTGTTCTCTTAGTTTTACCAAATGTACCATGGCCATGTTAACATAAGTGGCAGCTAGATTAAGGTAGGTAGTACTGAAGTACTAACTTTGCAATTCATAGGTAAAATTAAAAATATTTTAAAATACAACATTTTAAAAATAAAAATAAAATATTTTATTACATACTTTGGCAAAATTAAAACTATGGAAATTGCAGTGTTAGGGAGGATTGTCAAATACAGATACCTTTGTACACTGTTGTTGGAATTACAGCTTTTTGCAGGTATTCTGAAAAGAAATAAAACATAGGCTATCAGTCAACAATTTCTTTTCTACATAGCAGCAAAGAAATTCCCATACTGAAAAGATTATATATTATACAATCATCTATATCAGCATTGTTTATAGTGGTGAGTGCTAATCACTTGAGAATTGAAAATATAAAGTGCATTGGAATTCCATCGGGAAGTACCATGCAGAGTGCAGCATTATAAGTAGCAGAAAAAACACATGCAAAGCAAAAACACTCGATAGTCAACATATAATGCACATACGATATTGTAGGAAAGATGCCAATGAGGTATAATTTATACATTCATTATGCTGCATACAAAATAACACACATTACAAGAACATCCAAATTTTATACAATTAAGTACTTGTTAGAATGGGTGCCACGACATTAAACACATTAGAATGGAGATGAACGCAGGATTAGGGAACAGCAGGTGTTCAATGCCAGTTAAGCAAGCAATAAAGTGATCTTGAGCAAACCAATGACAACAGGCCACAAAACAACTAGCATGATTTATTCAACTTGCTACACCAAAAATTTTCTTAAGTACTAAAAATCTAGGATATTATATTAAGATTACTTTCAACTGGCATTAGTTTTTGTTTTACTTGGTTTCTTTTGTTGTCATTTTAAAGAATCTGAAACTAGATATCAGATCATGTACTGTAGGTTCAGTATTTGCAGGAAAGATAATCTCAATCTTCATTTAAATGTCCAATATTTAAATAAGTCACCTTGACCTTATACCCAATATTTGACAAATAAGTAAGGATTTCAGTTAAAATATTTGTGTTTGGGGCCTGGTGTTGTGATATAGTGATTTAAGCTTCTGCCTGGAACATTGGCAGCCCCAATGGGCATCTGTTCTTGTCCCAGCTGCTCCACTTTTAACCCAGTACATGCCAATGTGCGAAAAAGGCAGCAGAAGATGGCCTAGATACTTGGACTCCTGCCACCCATGTGGGAGACTCAGAAGCTCCATGCTTTGGCCTGGCCCAGCCTGCCTGTAGTGACCAGTTGGGAAGTGAATCAGAAGAGGGGAGGGATCTCTGTCTGTCTCTCCTTCTCTCTCTGTAACTCTGCCTTTAATATACATTTATGTTTTAGATTAGAAGTTCATGTTATGTGGTTTTTTTTAGTGAATCCCAATTTTGACATAAATTTCAATGAAATGAATAGGTTAACTTGTAAAATACATTTAGCCACCCATCTGAATGCTGGAAAAAATCTTCCCCAAATGAGTTTATTTCTGTCCTGATTAGTATTTAGTTTCCACCAACAGCACACACATGCATACAGACTTATAACAATTGATTAATGGTTTACATGTCTATTAAGAACAACCTAACAATATAAATAGTAAGTCATATCCTCATAATAGGGGAGGATACCTTGCTTTGTATTGGCTTTGATAAAAACAATGTAGCCACAAACAGAATCTAATCCAATAATGACTTTCTGAAATTTACATATTTCAGTGTAAATGCACATATCTTTTCACTTATAAATGTTAAAGATACTTTAAATGAGCAAATATTTCCAGGTTTATTTATGCAAAAAAATTTCAATTTGTATCTTAGCTTGTCTTCATGTGCTTATCTCAGGAAATATTCATTGTTTAACTCTAACATACATGCTAGTTAATTCATTCCTATGGCATTTTTGCTTTTCTTTGGATAGACATAAATTATAAATCATAAGTTCATTCAGATAAAATTCTATTGACATCTTGAAGTCAACATGAAAGGAATGCTAATTGAAGTTATTTAGATACTGCAAAGTTAACTACATTTTCTTTGCTTTAATGCATTTCACAGAGGATCCTAGTCTCTTTAATGTTAGACCTTATCTGTATTTATTATATGGCATAATTTTTAAAACCTGAGTTGCTTCTCTACAAGCATTTCATTTGCACAGGTTACCATTTCAGTAGTTCAACAGTAATTAATGGTTAACATAATTAACCTAAATGCTTGTGATTATAGGATATTCAACCTGTAATTACATTACCTAATTAGGAAATTACGATGCAGAATGAAATAATTATGAAAGGCGATGACTTTAAATAAAATCTATACTAAAGTATTCTTTGTTTACTTAGTAGAACATGTGATTAGCAAAATCACACAGTATTCTCCTCTTCCCAGTTATGTATTTTTGAACGAAAGCAAATAACGTGAATTCTGCACTGATGCTTCCCTTTCAAGACTAGGAAGGACCCACTTTTCCCAAGAAGCTGGAGAGGAATCAATTGCATTCTCAATTCTCTTTTTCACAAGAATTTAGCCCAGAGTATAAATGGGAAAGAACAACGCTCCTTGTCAGAAAGTTGGGTCACAATTTCACTAGAGTTGTTCTCACTTTTCTCCTGTGATTCCAGGAGTCAATATGTAACTAAGACTCCCAGAATCAAATACTACACCATATACCTAGGGTGAAGAGGAGAGAGAATAATTTGTTATTAACAATTTACTTGAGTTCCTTTAGGCACGTGTCTCTCGACTCCTGGCTGCTTCCATGCTTCAGGTGACATGAATACACCTGATCCCAGTCAAAGTCACCTAGCCCAGCCTTAGCTTCTCCACAGAAACCTATTCCTCTTGCACACAAGCCTATCAGTTCACATTCCTTTGACAATAACATCCATCCCATTGGCTTCTTTGAGAATCAAATAAGAAGGCATTTATGAAGTACTGCAAAAGGTTTTACAGTCTAAGGGATTTTTGTTATTTTCATTAGAGCCCACTGATGTCATATGATGATGTTAAATGCATTTTTCATGGTTGTATTTTCAATACATAAATTCCATCAAACAAAAGTAACATCACATTAAAATAAAAGGGAAAAACATGTTACTTCATTTGCAATGAATGTCAAAATGTTAACATACTTAAACATAAATGAACACTTAAAATTCACAACAAAGAGACTAAGGCTGTATGAAGATGACCTCACTCAACATTTACATGAAAAGAAAATTGTTATGATGCATTATTATTAAAATATTGATATCTAATATATAAACAATTTTAGGAAATGAGAAATTATCATCCAAATTCTGGGAAGACTTTCTCCAATTAGTGGAAAACTACTTAAATATAGATGTTGTATATGTTTAGCCCTGGAAATTGCAACACACAAAAACTAAGCATGCTCACTACATAGAAACTCTGTAGCTAATACACAGCTCACACAAAAAATTAACCTCCCCAATGATATGCACAAAACTCATCAATAGTAGGTATCACTGGGGAGTAGAATTAGAAAGAAAACAAACACTTATAAGGCGTAAGAATATTACATTCCATAAAATTCTATCTCTTTTGAGATCACTCTGTGGTAACTGATAATTATAAACACATGCACTACATACTTACAGAAGCACCCAGATGAAGCCCTTGGAATTCCTCCACCCAGAGCTTCTCTGAGCAATAATGTCCTGACAATCCAGGTCCTTTGATTTAGTCCAGCAGCAATAATGAGAGCAATAATTATGTCTAGTGAATATTCTCTTCAATGAAGTCTTTTAGATCACTTGTCAAAAAGTCCAGTATTTCTGATCTGCAAGGAGTTTCCACTACAACACACATTAAGGGAAGTGTCGCTTTGTGTTTTGAAGACCAAATGTTGTTTCTGCTGAAACTGGTGGCATAGCTACTTTGCAGTCATCACTGCCAAAGGGCTATTCCAGAGAGGGAGATGGGAATGAAGAACATTTGGATGAAAAAAATATTGCAACAGCTCATTCTCCAAAGATGAGAAGTGTCCCTTCTTGGAAATATCATCCCTATTACTTTCAATAAATATCTACAAATTAAAGGTACTCCACAGGAAGGTGTTCCAAATTATTTCGGAGATACTCAGGTTAGTCTTTGTCTGTAAATATGGGAATGTTGGGCTGTTTTATTCAACTTTGTATTTCCTGTGATCATTATGGATACTTTTTTAATCGTTTCAAGAAGAGGCTACTAGACAACAGTGCAGCAAATAATTAAGTGAAACAGTTGGAATGCCCCAAAAAGAAGTGAGAAGATGGAAATTAAGGTGATCATGTTGAAAGAAAGATATATGTGCAACTAACCTAAATGCATTTTCAATCTACCCGCTATTCTGAACCACTGACATTTTCCCAAAGAAAGGTTTGCTATGTTGAAATGTCCCTCCTTCTAGAATTTATTCTTTTCTGTACTCTCATAATTTACCACATATTTCCTTTTAAAAAAATATTTGATAGGCAGAGAAAGAGAGAAAAAGAGCACCCCCACTTTTTGGTTCACTTACAAATGCTTGTAAAAGCTGCAGCATGGAGCTCAATCTAGGTCTCCCATATGGGCAGCAGGAACACAGTTACTTCTTCCAAGGGATCTGCACTGGCTGGAACCTGGAGTTAGCAGCCACTGCTGGTTATCACATCCATTTTTTCCAATGGGTGGCGCATGAGAAACTTAACTGTTAAGCCATGCACTCACCTCTGTTGTATATTTCTCACTTTGCACTTTATTTTGAAAAGATGCACGTCTTCTTTACTGGATTAGGGTACTTGGAGGGAAGAGACCATATATTTCATTTTATTCCCAGAGGTCTATTCAAGAACATGGTATACAGCAAATGTCCAATAAAAATCTGTTAAAAATGAAAAATGTAATGTATATGAGTAAAATTGATATTTTAAGATTTGATTATTATTATTATAGCCCTTCTCCACACCCCTGGGGAACAGTGGTCTTTCTACTTATTGCTTGTTGGACTCTTTATTTAGTGGAGGATTAAGCATGTGACTATAAAGTAAATTGAAAGTATATCATTGCAAAAATTAAAAGGAAAATGAGAAAGGAAGGAGGAAAGGAAGAAGGGTGGGAAGTATCATTATGTTCTTAAAACTGTAACTATGAAATACAAGAAATCTGTTCCTTTTATATAAATAAATAAATAAATCTAAAAATGGGGGTATATATTTGTAAATAATAAATTAAGAATCCTTATATAGCTGCATAACATTCTGTACTCAATCTCATAAATTTACAACTAGAGTCATCCAAAAGTTATAAAAGCAATGAGGGTTTAAAGTATTGAATAAGATTTAAACTCTGTCTAAATGAAATGTAACCCTGCCTCTCAAAATAAATTTGCTGAATTTAGGAAAATAACAATTTCGTGACATTTCAAATAATCTAAGATTCTATGGCCATAAGAAAAAAAATCAATGATAATTTGATTATTCTAAATAAAACTACAAATAAAAGATTTCATAGGAAACACACACACATACACACACATCAGTTTCACTTTACCTTTTAGGGAAATTAATAAAAGATGTTGTTACTGTACTTATTATTTCCAGCACCTCCATTCTCAAGTAATTTACAGTGGCACAGAAAGTATTCTGGGACAGACAGGAACATAACTGTGGGCCAAGATGTAATGTATCACAGTTGTTACTGTCTGAAGGATGCAAAGCAGGCCCAAAGCATCTGAGGCTTGTGGAAATTATTAGTAGGAGATCAGATGTTTATCCAACAAGAGGCAAGTCCAGCTTGGAGAGTCATAGAAACTATCACTAGATATTTTATAAAATAAGTCTTTTAAAAATTTAGTCCTTAGAAATTCTCTAAAATTCCAACATAATTGAGGGTAAACCACTGAAAAGTGAATTCTTTTTAAAAATCTGCTGATTTCTGGTATATTCACAATGCAAAATGTTAGAAATTGCAAAGTCTTAAAGTGAGTTTTAAACTCACACTGTACACCACAAGTATGCATAATCATAAAATATTTTAATGAAAAGGTATTGTGAAAGACAAACATTTATGAAAGAGTAAATTCATCAAGAAAATATAGAAATAAACATCTACTGAACAACAGATATATGAAACAAACACTGACAAAATTGAAAGAAAAACACCTCCAAAAATAGTTGGAGACTTTAATATACATCTTTCAAAATTTCTGTTACAGATATGACTCATCCTGAGGAGAGATCCAAGATGGCTGAATAGTGAGGCGCCTCACTGTCTTCAGCTGGAGGAAGATACAAGAAAAACACAGGAAGGACCATATTTCCAGGGAACTGACTGACAGAAGTTTTCAGTGAAGATGGGACAGAACAGAACAGAGACTCCATGGTACATTGAGGAAAGATGACAGACATGTCGCTGCAGCCAGCCATGCAGGAGTTACAAGGTGAGAAAAAGCTGCGTCATGCCCTGCCACGGTCAGCTCTCATCCAGGAGGAATTTCACATTCCCCCACTGACTTTAACTCCATCTTGGGGAGCTAAAGAGTGACTACTTTGTTCCAAAAAAAGATGCCACGTTTCCTCCCTTCCCTCCCTTATCCCCACAAATTGCCAGACTCAATAAGTTGTGAGGAGTCTGGAAGCTGATCTCTATTCTTCTGGTACCAGAAGCAATGGAAGCCAGAATCAGAGCAATTTGTGAGGCAGAGAGGAGACCCTGAGTCTTGCAACCATAGGAGTTTGGGGCATTAGCCCGGGAGCTATGGTCACGCACTCTGTGTGATTCAGGGGGCTTCACCTCAGCTTTTTGAACTCGCAGCAGCCCATAAAAAAGTAGAGACTCAACCTAAGTAAGTTCCCTCTTCACCCCCTAGCACAAAGTGCTATGGGCCCTGGGCACAAAACCCAGCAACACCTTTGCATGCCTTGTGAGAAATGGGGGCAGTTTCATCACATGGGTGGATAAAGAAAATGTGATATATAAATATTTACACATTTATAAATATACTATGGGCTATTGTTCAACTTCTTAAAAGAATTAAATTCTACCATTTGCATCAAAATGAATGCAACTGGAGGACATCATGTTGACTGAAATAAACCAGACACAGAAAAACAAATTTTCATGTTTTCCCTAATTACCAAAGCTAAAATTTTTTAAAAAAAGAAAGAAAAATGCCTTTGTGTATCAGTAGTGCTGCAAATATAGTTTTGTCAAATTTTGTTTGATATTTTTGTAAAACCAAGGAATAACAATCAGTTAATTCTACTACAGTTTTAATCATCTGCAACTATTTTAAAATTTACTGTATGTGAGTTGAGTGGACATATGTTCATTTGATTATTGCTTACAGTCTTTGCCTATATTCCTGCTGAACTATGGTGTTCTTACTTTTTATTTGTTGAGTTCTTTATTCTGTAGAGGACTTAGCCTTTGACTCTATGTGAATTTAAAATACGTTATCTCAAAACTTTAACAAAAGAATAAAAGATGAAATCAAGCAAGCAAGCAAGAAGGAAAATAAGAAAGAGAAAAAAGAAAGTGATACAGATGGAGAGAAGGAAGAAGAGAGGGAGGGAAACATCTTTATATTCTTAAAATTGTGCCTAGGAACTACATTCAATCTGTTCTCTTAGAATTAATATCACATTAACATGAGAATTGTGTTGTAACAATCATTTTGCATTTGCTATGACCCTGAGAATTTAAAGTATTAATAAATTCCTTAAAAACAGTTAAGGAAATGACTGATTCCATAGTAATGAAAGGAAGCATTCTGCAAAACAAAATATTTTCTTAAGTGCATTTTTGAGTTATTCAAAGCTGTCTTCCATTTGTAATTGAACAAAAGCTTTGTGGTGTACTAATTTACTAACATGTTCAGAAAAAGTAAACTTTAAAAGACTGACATTGGCATTGCACATTGGAACCAATATTGTCCTCCAGTAACAAAGCCCCTCTGCCCAAAAAAAAAAAAAAAGTTGACATAGTGAAAGAAGATTGTGAAACCTGTGGTTTACCACCTTTCAACATCTGCAAACTCAGCAAATTAAAAGATTAACAAACAAGTAGAAAAAGACAGTCTAAACATTCTCCTTTTTCAATAATTGCACATGTAAATATTATTAGTCTTTGGTGAAATTGTCAAACCAAACCACCTTTATCAACTAACTTGAGAATTTGAATCCAAAATAACTCCTCTGGGAAATACAAGGGATAATCCTCCATTCATCAGAGTGTCTGTTATCTGGGACAAGTCCAGAGATGAGATGTGCTGTAATAAATAGTGCTTCCAGATGGTTTGCAGAAATTTCTGTTAGCTGATAGTTTGAAATAAATAAGCATTCAGTCAAGATGAGACTACTGACATACACGGGCTTTTTAAGACAAGTCAGTTCTTAGTATTCTTCAGAAGGTATGAGTCAAGGAAAAAAAATAATTTCTAACAAAAAAGAATTCCAATGAGATGTTGACAAGATCTACCAAAACATTGACATTTGACCTTTTAGAAGTTGCAAGTAAAATTTTCTTTCAAGATTAACTTTGATTTGAGTTTATAACTTTATAGAGACATTCATGTGATAAAAGTGAATTAAATAAACTTGTTTATCTCTAAATAAATTATAATGTGGCTGAGTGTTCAAAAAAAAAGATAACTTCTTAGGAAGAACAGTTTCTTTGAAGAGAAGGTTCATACCCTATCTTTGTATTCTTCACCAAAAACAGTTTAAACCCAAATATGCAATAGGCAATTGCTGAGTATCCAGAGATTTCAATCAAATCACCATTGAGTGCATAAAATATAATAATGTATTAGATTATATCGAATTCCCAAAGAAGTATGACAGAAGGATTATTGCTTATTATTTTAATTTGGTGACCAAATTTACAAATATGAAATTGTTAAATGACAGCCAATGAAAACGTAAAAC